TGCACATGTGTGTTTGGGGGTTCTGCTTGCGTGCTAGGTCCCAGGAACCAGCCGGGCATGCAGGGGCTGCGGGGTGGTGCAGGGGCATGTGCAGCCAAGCTCACCTGGGTAGTGCAGGTGCAGGTGTGATCCACAGCCCCCACCTTCCTAATCTGCAGCTGCTCCCACAGTTCTCCGCGTGGGGCTGAACTCTGCCCACTGCTCCAGATGAGCAGAGTGGGTGGAAAGTGGCTGGGAGCTGGAACTAGAGCCCCATGCACTGGGGCAGGAGCCACCCAGCTGTAGCTCTGACCCCTTTCCTGGAGCAGTGAAGCAGGGGCAGAAGGAAGAGAAGCTGCTGGAGGTGGGGGGAGCTGAGCAGTGCCCAGGGGGCTGCAGCTGAACCAAGAACAGCCCTGCTGGGAAGCTGTGCACACTGATTGAATCCAGGGCCAGTGGGCACGGGGAATAGCAGGTGAGGCTCAGCTCAGCTCCATGCAGAGTGCCATGGGGGTAGCCGTGGGCTGGTTCCAATCAAATGATGGGTGCCCACCTACAGGCTGGATCCAATCAGTTGGCTAACCAGATCTGGCCCGCAGGCTGTATTTTGCCCACCCTTGGATTAATGCCATGACCTGTCTGAAACATTAGTTATAAACTGGTATGTTTTAGTAAAATCCATGCTGATTTCTGCAGCAAAAAGCCTCCCAGCAAAAATATAGATCCCTGCCTAAAGTAGCTGACAGTGGACTATCATCAGGCATTTATACACATGCTCCAGGAGTGGGGTGGGGGCACTTTAATTACAGCGGGTCCAAGAGCTGCTCTAATTAAAGTGCCCAGAGCATCCCCATGCTGGAAAATGGCAGTGGAGGTGCTTTAATGGCCCCTGCCATTTTTCAGTGTGGGGATGCTAATACATGAGATGCTGGAGTCTGCTGTACTGTGGAAATTACCACGCTCCAGCAGACTTGATTAATCAAGTCTGTTCAGACGCACTATAATTACAGTGTGTCAGAGCAGCCTCACTACATGTGTATAGGTGCCCATCCATACTATCATATCATACATGCTGCAAGAAGGCATTCAAGAGCTGGGGAGGGAAGATGATAATGAAGTTAAGGAGTTACTCAGCAAAGCCAGGGGCACCACATGGGTAGAATATTTCCAGTACTTTTAAGCCTCAATTTTATCTAACACAGAGGTCTGAGTTGACCTTGCATCAGACTGCACTGTACAGAGCAGTGTGGATGTGGGGACGGCAGTTGTATGATGAAAAGCCAGGCTGGGAAGGTCAGCTGAGTAAAAAGCTTCAAGGTATTTATAGGAGATATGGCTGAACAGTACTTTAGGGCTGGCAGAGGAGAGTGGGTGAAAGCTGATGTAAGGCATAATCATATAAACAGGAAAGGACAGAGTTACAGGGGCCTGGGAGGTGAAGGAGAGCAGGTGAAATAAGAGTTGTTAGTAGATGCCAACAAAGAAGGATGCCTTACACAGCCTGAGCAGTGGCCCAGAAAAATTATCTTAGTGCATATACTCTGAAGAGAACAGAGAGGGAAATGTTGGCAGCAAGGATATAATCAAAGCCTAGAGGACAATTTTTGGTGAATGAATATCAAAGTGAGATAGGTGTTTGAGTTGTCTGCACAGGGACAGGAGCTGGAGATTGTCCTAAGGACCAGAGAAGAGAGGGCAAAAAACAGAGCCCTGTAGGATCCTTCTAGAGAGTGAGTGAAATAAGGAGGATACCCCCTGCATCCATCAAGGTAGGGGGATAATGCTACATAGGTTGGGAGCTATGCAAACAAAGCAAATGGTAATATATAAGTCCATGGAGAGATCATGGAGGGTGAGTCCTAGAACTATCTTCTGTTAATAGACCACCTTTTCACCTTCAGGTGATCTATTAACAGAGTATGCAAAGGAGGCAGGGCTGCTCAATTACTACTTTGCCTCAGTCTTCATGCAAATGAGCTTCTAAACATAGCTAACAAAACTAATATAGACAAAAGTAAGGGATGTGGATCATTAAAAAGAGCACAACAGATCTTTTGACAAATTCAAATTAATTTAAGTTAGCAGGAATTGATTAAATTCATCTTAGCGTTGAGGGAACTGGCTAAAGAAATTTGGAAGCCATTAGCAATAATATTTGCGAAGTCAAGGATGATAGGCACAGTCCCACAGAACTGGAGAAGAGTTAACAGTACTCATCTTTAAGAAGGGGAAAGAGCACATGGGTAATTATATGGGTAATTAAGAGTACATGGGTAATTATAGACCTGTAAGCCTGACTTCAGTGCCTATAAAGTTATTAGAGCAAATAATAAAACAAGCAATTTATAAACACCTGGAGGATCACTACTAGTCAACGTAGGTTTGTTCAGAACAAATCAGGCCAAATCAAATTGATATCTTGCTTTCAAGAATAACCAGTTTAATAAATGAAGGGAATGTAGTGGACATGATATACTTTGACTTTAGTAAAGCTTTTGATTCAACCCTACCTGACATTCCCTGCAGAAATATGGGCTAAACAGAATTACTATCAGGTGAATACATCATTGCTAACTAACTATAAGCAAATAAACTATCAATGTATGAATTTAAGAATGGAGGTCCAGTGCTGTTTAACATTTTTATTGATGAGTTGAGTGCAAGAATAGAGAGCTTCCTGATTAAGTCTGCCAAGGATACAAAACCAGGAGTGCTTGCAAACACTGGAAGATAGTAGCAGAATTCAAAGGAATTGTGGATATATTGGGAAAGCTGAGTTATACATAACAAAATTAAATTCAGCAAAGACCAGAATTAAGTATGGTGCTAGGCCTAGAAAAGAAAAAACAAATGCACAGAAACCAAATGGAAGATAACTGGCTAGGCAGACGTGTTGCTGAAAAGATTCCGAGAGTTATTGTAGATTCCAGACTGTTCAACATGAGGCAGCAACGTGGTGCGATTACAAAAAGCAAATGTAATTCACAGCTGCATTAATAGGAATATTGTATATAAGATAGAGGGGGTACACCTACATGTGCAATTAATGCAATATGATAAAGTTTGCTCCAGATTACGCTGCTGCTGGGCACAGCATCTATACGTGCACCTGAGATATCAGCACTCTGAGGCTGGCCGGAGTAGCCCTGGGCTGGCAACAGACTTGGGGGGTTAGCCCCAGGCTCCAGGTGGTGGCGTCAGGTGGAAGAGGGGCTGGCTGGGGCACAAGAGTTCCAAAACTGCAGAGCCATGTGGCTGACCCCCTAAGCCTGCTGCCTGCCCAGGGCTGCTCTCCCCCAGCTCAAAGTGCTGTAGTCCCAGTCACCATCCACACGTGAGTTGCAGCGTAGTAAATTACTCTGCTGTAAGATAGTACTATCTTATGCAGGAGTTAATTAATTTACTTTGCCCTAATGCCTGTGCACATGTATCATAGAATCATAGAAAATAAGGGTTGGGAGAGACCTAGAAAGATCATTGTGTCCAACCCCCCTGCTCTGGGCAGGAATACTGCTGATATCAAGTGATCCCAGCAAGGTGTCTGTCCAATCTCCTCTTGAAGA